GCCGCTCCCGCTGCCCCGCCAGGGCCTTCCACCACGACCGGCAGGGCCAGCTGTGCCAGCCGCTGCCCTGGACGCAGCACTCGCCCCGCGTGCAGCTGCAGAAGAACCTGCGCTACGACCTCTACCAGAAGAAAGGTGGGCGGGCGACAGCGGGCGGTGACGGGTGGCACCGGCGCCCGCCGTGACGCGGCGCCCGTCCTCGCCCAGACTACCTGCGCGACTGCGTGGTGGCCGACGGCGCCGGCTACCGCGGCACGCGCGCCCGCACCGAGAAGGGGCTGGCCTGCCAGCACTGGCGCGCCACGACGCCGCACGACCACAGGTGCCGCCCGGCCCCACGGCTGCCCGCCCGGCCCCACGGCTGCCCGACAGCCCCACGGCTGCCACTCCGACCACCCTGCAGGTTCCTGCCGTCGCCGCGCAACGGGCTGGAGGAGAACTACTGCCGCAACCCCGACGGCGACAAGCGGGGCCCGTGGTGCTACACGCTGGAGCCGGCCGTGCGCCACCAGAGCTGCGGCATCAAGAAGTGCGAGGACGGTGAGCGGCGGGCACGGGGCCGGGCGCCGCGTGGCCCCCCCGGCGCGCCGCTCAGCCCCCGCGGGCGCCCGCAGCCGTGTGCGTGAGCTGCAACGGGGAGGATTACCGCGGCGCCGTGGACCGCACCGAGTCGGGCGCCGAGTGCCAGCGCTGGGACCTGCAGCACCCGCACCAGCACCCCTTCCACCCGGACAAGTAGGGGCGCCGCCGGGGCGCGCGGTGCCGGTGCCGCCGCCGCCCTCATCCTCGGCTCGCCCCTCCAGGTACCCCGAGAAGGGCCTGGACGACAACTACTGCCGCAACCCCGACGGCTCGGAGCGGCCCTGGTGCTACACCACGGACCCGGCGCGCGAGCGCGAGTTCTGCCGCATCCGCGTGTGCAGTAAGCGCCGGGGCCGGGGCGGCTGCGGGGGTGACCGCGGCACCGGCGCTCACACCGCCGCGGCACCGTGGGCACACCAAGCAGAGAAGCGCCCGCGGCCCGGCAACGTCACCAGCGGCTGCTTCCGAGGGAAGGGCGAGGGCTACCGGGGCCGCGTGAACGTCACCGCCTCGGGCATCCCCTGCCAGCGCTGGGACGCCCAGGCGCCCCACAAGCACCACTTCGTGCCCGACAAGTACCCGTGCAAGTACGGGGGGCAGCGGGGGGGCGTGGGGAGAGGGCTGTGGGGCGGGTGCCCCGCTCAGCGCGCCCGCTCCCCGCGGCGCCGCCCTTGGCAGGGACCTGCAGGAGAACTACTGCCGCAACCCGGACGGCTCGGAGGCGCCGTGGTGCTTCACCACGCGGCCCTCGCTGCGCGTGGCCTTCTGCTTCCAGATCCCGCGCTGCGCCGACGAGCTGGGCGCCCAGGGTGAGGGTCGGGCCGGGGGGCCGGCGCGGGGGCCCGCGCGCCCGCCCTGAGCCCGCTCCGTGCCCGCCCGCAGACTGCTACGAGGGCCACGGCGAGCGCTACCACGGGCGCGTGAGCAAGACGCGCAAGGGCATCACGTGCCAGCAGTGGTCGGCGCGGGAGCCCCACGTGCCGCTGTGAGCGGGCGGGCGGGCGCGCGGGCGCGCGCGCCCGTCCCGCAGCCTCACCGTGGAGGAGCACATCTGGTTCTACGGGCGGCTCAAGGGGCTCTCCGAGGAGCAGGTGCAGCGGGAGACGGAGCAGCT